CTCATTATCTCGTAAGTCCGTTGGTGACTAAACAGTACAACTCAAACTCTGGTTCGCTGCCAATGATATGGCGTGTCCGCGGTCGCGCTTGGCGCTGAGCCAACCTGTTTTTTTCTCGACAAGCGACAGGACTACCATATCGTTCATATCAGACGTTTTCCAGCAGTTGGTCTCCTTTATCGGAGTCAGCGATTGGCGGAGCACGAATCTGGCAGCGTTGACAGGGATGAATGCTTCCATATACGCAACGGAAAACACTGTAAACAAGTGCACAGGCTCGCCATGGACCTCCCTGAACCTTATAGACACATTTGCTCGCGTGAACAGACATTACGCACAAGTTGCACCATCCCATCACCTCTGCGCGGCCCTCAGTGCGCGGCGCATCCAAAGTTGGCGTGATCGGCGCTAAACGAACCATATCCTGCTCCTGCTCCACCACAGGATACGTTCTACATGCGTTCCTGGCTATTCGAACACGCTTCACTTTGAAAAGGGTACCACAAGGGGGGGGAAAAACCGGGTTTTTCGCGCAGCTGGGAGTGTTCCTCAAGAAATCCCCATAGCGAGATCTCATGAATCCCGAGAGCTTCAGAAACAGTTCAAGAGGTTTTTAGAAAGAGAAAATCTTCAAACACTCGAAACCATTCTACAAAAAAAATATATTGATTCAAACCTGTTCGGTTGAAACCACTCCCCAACGAATCCCTATGGCAGATTTCTCTGTGATTTTTGCGACGTTCATAAACGTTTTAGTACTTTTAGGAAGTGCAAACCTTCCTCTACACGAGTACGGTCTCCTCTCTTATGGTCCTTCAAAGACACCTAACTCAGCTGGAAATTCTCGCTCCATGGCTAAAATTGCCGAATAATCTCCTGTCACAGCCGCAATTACATGCGCTTCTGCTACCGTATAATTGGTCTCAGGATATCTGTCAACCGCGGAACCTTCCTCCTCCTTCTTTTTTCCTTCCTCCTTCCAACTTTTTCTTCCTTCCTTTTTCATCCTTCCTCATTATTTTCCTTACTCTAAATGCTCGAACAGAAGATGCGATGAGAAAACACCTCTGGACCCTCAGGCGGGAGAGCATCCGGTTGACAGATGTCTTGTAACCCACATAATCGGGGTAATGCATTTTTACGGCGGTTTGTATAACTGTTACGTAGTGAGACAAGCCTAACTTTCTCTTTTCCTCGTCCTCAATCTTGGGAATAGACGTTGTTAACACTGTGGTCGCTGATGGCCGCTCCCAGAGAGGGAGTCCACCTCAGGTTAACGAATGCTCATTGAATTTAATCGCGATACATCGTTATTATTACCATGTGTGTTTCAAAACGGCCATCGAAGAAGTTCATCATACGAGTTTCTCATAATACGATTGTACCGTTTTTTGTTTGCAATCATCTCTGTATTGTTCTATTATGTCATGACTTCAAGTCGTCCATTTAGTATGGGCACCTTCATACAAGTAGAATTTCATAGTGGGCGTTTCATAGTTTCATTTAAGGCGAAAAAACCGAACGGCAAAAAAAGGGGGGGGTCGTACCGAACCCCCAAAAAAGGGGGTCCTACAGGCTCGCTCACCAAAAATCCCGATGCGAAAGGCTAGTTTGCCCTGGCTACGCGAAGATTACGGCTGCATATGTGTACCCATGTATGCATGCAGCATCACGGCCGCTTCATACCAATCCCTTCGCTTCATAATTTGCTTAGCAAATGAATGAATACGAGCGTCAGAAACGGTCGTCCATTTGTGGGCGGGCGGGCGTGGCGGGCGTTTGGGACGTAAAGTTGTGGCTTGATAGGGCCCTTATAAGGGCACCTTCCTCGGGGAAACCGCTATGCAGCGCCTGCCCAGGGTCGCGGAATTCTATCCTGCCAGGAGTATTGATCCTAGTCGCCTTGGGGATTTATCGTGCCAACTACCTTTAAAGGCATAAAGGATAAAAAAGGATAAAGTCTTCGCCGTTGATCAATCCCTTTGTGGGATGCGGCACGCATTCTACTTCCATTCAGAATCGTAGTGGCTTATTGAATGCGATGTGGCCTATACAATGACTTGCGGTGGCCAGCCGATGTACAAGTCAGTGTTTTATCCTCCCAGACGAATCTGGTACCAATTCACCGTCCCCGGAGGGTAGAAGGCTTGGTTGGCCTGGGCGGGAGTCGACCCGGGATTTGAACCCGGCGCCGCGCGAGTGGTAAGCGCGCCAGTCACTACACCACCTCCGCCTCCTTTGAAGGCATATGGCACGATAATTTGGCATTCGGTCTAAAATACCTAGTAATGACTCAGAAAAAATGAAAACAACTAGTAATGACTCAAAAAGCAATTTTGGACGATTTTCCCTGTAGGCATCTTGCCAATAACCGCTACGGTAGATACGGCTGCACGTATGTACTCATATATCCAGCAGCACCGCGGCCGCTTCATGTAAATTCCTTCGTTTCATACTTTACTTCGCAAATGAAGCAGAGCATCAGGCACGGCCGTCCTTTAAGGGCGGGCGGGCGCGATAGGGCCGTGGTCTGCTGCAGCCCGATAGGGCCTTTTAGGGCTTCCCTGGGGAAGACATTACGCAGCACCCTCCTCAAGTGCGCGGAATTCCCTTCTGCCAGCCGTATCGATCTTACTCGTCTTAGCGACTTAGTGCCAACTGCCTTTAGAAGAAATACCGCGCGATTGCATGTTATGGATAGCGTGTTCAATTGCAAAACTGTAATCGCTAAGTGAGCCTGTCAGGGAGAACGAAGAGAAAAATGCGAGCCTTGTTATGTCAGCAAAGCGATGGTTCGTTTATAATGGTGGCAATCTTGGAGAATGCGGGTCAGACTACCTGAACAAGAAAGGACGCCTAAGAATTGGTTGAGCGTGAGGTCCACTTTAACGAATCAGAGTTCCTTCTTGTGAATGATAAAATGAAACTCGTCCCAGTCGTTTATTGCACGACGTTTCGGGCTTTAAGCCCTTCTTCAGGTCTACAATCATCACATTCAAAGCCTACACCAACATCATCTAACTTTACAAACATAGGCAAGAAATTCAAAGGGGAAACAATCAACAAATAACTGACCGGCTTCCTACGAGACGGAGGGTCGGTACATTGTCTACACAAGACATTGAAGCTCAGGAATTCTCTTATATTACATGAATCAGAGTTTCTTCAATGCAGTGCGTGCGGAGGTTGAATAGATAGTGTCAGCTTACTCCTGACAATTTTCATAAAAACAGAGAGAAAAGAGTTCAGAAAAATTGGTGATGTGCACAGTCATGATTCCTGCGAACGATAGGACGTCTGACGGAGGCACGGACTAGAGCGCAGCCAGATCAGATTCTCCAGCACAAGCCCTATGGTTCGGAGGAATCGTGGCTGTATAACACCGCACGAATGGTTACAACGTTTGTCTATCAGCACGGTCGAACACCCTGTCACCTCGACCGCATTAAATGCACGAGTTCCCTCGAAATCGACACGAAAGCCGCTTCGCGGCCGCCCGCGCCACAGGCCCACATTCAAACCGGCACGTATTTGTTCATGAACCCGTTTATTTCGCAACAAAAAAAAACATAGACTGTCATGGAAAGATGGACAGGATCTTCACTGCTCAAAGAAAAATTTAAATCACATTCGTTCAACCATATTTGGAAAAGAATAATTTTAAAATGCAAAAACTGGGGTGAACATAAGCGGAATCGACTGCGAAATACAACCTTCGATATGAGAGATGAATGAACACAATAAACTGTGCGCAGCTAAGGAAGCGTTCAGACTTCGCGATGACGCGCGTTACAGCGCATTCCAACGCTTCGTTGCGCGTCATCACGAAGTCTGAAGGCTGCCTAATTGACTATTGAAAACGTTCCAATAAAAAACCTCTAGTAGGCTTTATTCAATGTTTTGCAGATCAGCGCTATTCCTGTTTCACTGCACTATTGACTGTAATCCACTAATTTCACGTACAGTTGGGTTCCTTTCGGGCTCCCATTGCTTCATCGTCGTCTTTCTCTGCAAAGTGAGTTTTTTTTTCACATGGCTGTCCAGGAACCAGTAACTCGTAACATCTTTACCTCAGGCGTTGATGAACTATAGTGTCACGTTTTGGGAAGGGTTGCAAACAGCGTTATCGTTTACATCACTGCAATCCAGACCATCTTTGTTGTCGGAAGTTGATTGCAGCAACGACGAATCGGAGTTTGTTTCCTTTTTGCACCTGTAACAAGAGCTAATGCTCAGGGGGTACTCTCAGAAAACCAGTTCACCAAGTAACCCCTGAGGCAGAGTGTGAGGAACAATCTAATGTTTTAACAACCTTTTACGAGCAAAAGTTTTCCGCAAAAACATGTAACCTTGAAGATTTGTATTGGTGCGTTAGTATAATTTTTTGTCTCTAGCTTCACCCGAAATTGCGATTCTCATGATTTTCCACGTGTTATTTAACATGGCTACAGAAAAAATAAATAAATTTATCGCTTTTTGAGGTAGGAGTAGCCGAGCATTCTCAAGAACAGTGAATGACAACGCCAAAGATATGGTGCGGCGAAGCAAGGCCCCACCATATCTTTGGCGTTGTTATTCACTAGCTCAAGGCTAGGCCTTTCGCTGGACGCAAGTGGTGCAGTTGCGTCCAGCGAAAGGCCTAGCGTCTGGTTTGCTCACCTCGGTGCTGAGAACTGCAACGCGTTTATCGTAGAACAGTTATTCTAGCAACGCCAAAAGTCGCGTTCATACTTTGAAGTGCGGAGGGCCCGTGAATCGGTAGAACGCACGACTCGCTAGTGAACGTAGTCGATCGATTCACATCTACCTGATCTTCCGGTTGAGTGACTATTTTTGAAGCAAGCGGTCCAGTCACTCCCGTTGACGGTCCTTACCATGTGCGACAAGAACGGGTTGGCAGCTGTACAAAAGCGCGCGAATATAAGCTGAAAAGAGTGATGGCCGGGTGCCATTTGGGACCCCGCCCATGCCACCATCAAGTTTTAGCAATTGTGTCGATTCCGCAATCCCACGGCGAACCAACAAAGTAAGGACAATCAGACGCGAGAGGGCGCAGCAAGAAGTGCGTTTAAGTACGGTTAGGCGTGTGGCCGGCCATCCCCAGCTCGGTATCCAAAAGAAACGGCGCAGGGGTACACTACCATCCAGCACCGCCGTTGTTGAGCGGAGAAAATGGCCCGCTGCTGTAGCTGTGAACCCCTTCACATTGCATATGGCAAGGGCCAGAATTCACGGTGGTGAATGTTTAGTTTGTTTGAATTATTTTTTGGGTGGTTTCCTCCAACCTAGAGCGGGGATGGGCTTTGCAAAGGAAGGAGACTTCGAGGTCAGATCTGGATGTGAGGTCACATAGAGCGCCATGTAGGGGAGGGAGCGCATATTAAAACAGAATAATATTGCATCATCTTGCCACTCGCACATTCTCCCCGTTAGGGCAACTTTGTGGGAAATTCTTGATAAGTACCCCCCGCATTCTTTTTCCCGGTACGAGCCCTTTCATGAGCTCCAAGGAGCATTATCTATCATACGGTCTAAAATACGTTCAAGCAACACTTCTCCATTCCTACAGAATTTCATGCAAGGAAAAAAAGGTGTTTTATGGGCCATCCCAACCCAATAGATCTGCATAAAGGGTCACCCAATAGCCAAAAGCAAGTTTACGGGCGCCTCTCACTACAGGAGAAGTCTTGTAGATAGGCCTTACTGTAGGGTTTTAAGCAAAAAAAAAAGATAATTTTGATGAACCACTCCGACCGTCCAGCTGACGATCAGTGGTCCTCATTGTGGTGTACTACCAATGCAACAATAAAACAAACCTTTTTTCCTGACTAGAATCGATCACTTCACCAATACTAGAGTCGTGCAACGCTCTGTCGGCGGTAACTTTTTCATCCAACCGTTGCGAATTCTGGAAACAAATCTTCAGAACACGATTCAAATTTGTGAAATTGGACTTTAAAACGTACCGCAGATGAGAGTTCGGTTTCTATTGCAGTCATAACAGCCTCCAAATTGCTTCCTAGGGACATCTCACTTGAATGAGCTTCTTCCTGCCCTTGGAAACATTTCTCGAACGGGGAACATGCTGTGCAGATGTAATGCACAATAGGGGTCATTCCAGCAGCTCTCAGACTCACACATCCTGTCGAGTCAGATATTTTAGACCCACAAGATGGGCAGAAGCGAAATAGTTTCAGCAGTTGACTTCCTTTTATACGAAATTCTTGATCGAGTAGTTTGGGGTCCGTTCCGTCAAATTTTAGAATATCTTGAAGACTAGATGTTGAATGAGATGGCACCATGAGCTGCAATATTGACTTCATCTGGCAGAACAATCTCGTTGGGTTCCCTGGAAGTACCTGCATTAGAGCATCCTGGACAGTCTTCTGCCGGCTGCCTTGTGAAGTAGGGGAATGAGCTGGTTCCTTTCTTTTTCGAGATGCGAGGGGTGGAGACACTCCACCCCCACCAAAGCATCGATAATAGGAAATCAGATGGGTGGCTGTCAACGTGAAACTTGGCTAAACAATCATTTTCAGAGGCGCACAAGAAGTAAAGCGGACGGTACTAGTCTCGATTGCGCTCCAGGACAGCTGAGAAGTGGCACTGCGTGCAAACCAGCGTTTCTAGCTGGCTGACCCGACACAGCACTCTGGCGTGAAATCAAATGGGTCACAGAACCCTTGTCCACCTTACCGCTTGTTCCGAGACTCTACCTCAAAAAGTCGACAGTTAGTAAGTTACTACCATTTTAAGCTTTGAGAATCATTGTAAAGTCACGTTCGCGATCTGAATTTTTCTAGGCTTTCATTCATTAGTAGTCTTCAGTTCGTGCTACGTAGTTGAGGTGGGCCACGCAGCAGCGCCTTTGTGTTCACACACCGGTTGGGGACGGGTCCGTACGACCTCGCGCCTAGAGGGTGGCGACCTCTCCTTTCCCTATCCTCCCACCTCACCTATCTTACATACCACATCCTAAGATTTTCCCAGCTCCTACCACTTTTTCCAGGACTTCCCAAAAACTTTGCTGGCGAGCGGTGGGGGGAGTCAACAATCACTGTCGGGGAAGACCACAAACTAAAATACGACCCACCCCCCCCCCCATAACGTTCGTGAATCCGTGGAAGAGGAGAAACCAGCTACGAAAAAAAATTTTCTCCCAGACAAAATACGATCCCCTGCTGAAGTTTCTGAACGATAATTTGCCCTGTGTGTTTTCTTCCCCTAACCAGCGTTAAGCTCATAGCGCAGACGACCAGAGTTGCGTAGAAACTGTACGCTTCGCGAGGGCACCCTGCTACAACTCCGGTTATCTGCGTCCTAAGCTCGAGCCTTTGGTAGGGGAAGGACGCAGAGACGCTTCTGCGTGGCTGTTCTTAGGACCCTTGAACATGAAGAAGATAAAGGCAATACATCAATTCTCGAGTTTTTCCAAGACGAAGTGTGAAATAAACTATATAACGCGGCGTTCAAACTTGCGATGACGCGCATCGAGCGCTGTAACGCGCGTCGACGCGCTACAACTGCTACAGCGCCCACTGGTATAGACGCGAACGCAGTTGCACACGAGAATGGATCGGTGTCGGCGACAGTATTCGACTATTACTACCCTAGAAAGTAAAATTTTTTTTTGCTGAAATGATACCCAAGAAGGAACTATGTCCTGACCACGAAGATGGTTTCCAGCGTTGAGCCAATTGACGCCAGTTTGGCGCTGCCACCTTTCTCACCAAAATCGGTGTAAGTTGGCATTGTAGGGTTATTTGGTCAGGCTCAGCCTTAATAGAGCCGAAGATGATTGCAGACGTCTTCCATCAGCGCCAGCGCCAAAAATGAATGTGATATTTGTAATCAGGATGTCAAATAACCCTCCGTATACAAGTTTTCAGTGGATCCTGTGACCTAGAATATTTGGCACCGGCGCCTGTAGCGCGGGCGCCAGGGGGGTTTTCAGGCCAAGTGGACGAGTTCGTGTTTAGGAGGTCGAATTACCCCTAGAACCCAACTTTCAGCCAAATCTGCCCCGTAGAAAAAAGTCGATCAAGATCCGGCCTGTTTTCGGAAAATTGGGGTAGTAATAGTTGAATAGTGCCGTGTCAGCCGCTTGCGTTTCGAGAGAGTATAGTATAACGGGCGAGGGCGGCAAGGGTTGCACAATCACATAGCAACCGGCATAGACCGCTTGGGAGCATAGAGGAATGGTAGGATACCAGATTGTGTGAAGGCAGCGCCCATCCTCGTGTTATCTTACACTCTCTAAAAACATTAGCGATTGGTTCTCTTCGGAGGCTGCGTACACTTCTTCAGCCGTCGCAATTGTAGCCCCGTCGCTGCGAAGTCTGAACGCTGCCTCAGAACTGCAGGTCGCTATGACCTGATTAGTTTGACACGAAGATGTTCTGCCGAGTCAACTAGCTAGGAATGCCGGTTTGCGCGTGATAACTCGGATGTCCTGAGCTACTTCCCTTTACACTTACATCTATGGCTTGACAACACGATTCGATATGAGCAACAACTTCTTTTATAGCATCACTCGACAAAGTGGATAGATCTTTCACAACAGTTTTACATGCCATGTCAACCACATTGCTAATATAAGGAACCTGCAACTCTTTTTTTTTTCATTGTAAATGTTGATTTCAAGCTTTCTGCTACTGACCGCTTCTTTGAAATGACTTCTACAGATGCGTTTGCCTAAACGGACGCTCTCGTTGTATAAATCTTGCGCATCCGACATTTCTATTTCTTCCTTTTCTAGCATGGCACACAGCATTATCAACAGCGTTTCCTTACACCTGCTACGGTAAAACTCGCCCTCTTTACGATGAGCGCCACATACACGGCAAATCTGCATTTTCTCTGCAAAATACGATATTGTATTTTTATGCAGTGTCCGCAAGACTGAGCTGGAAGCCTCGAGCACAGTGAGCATAAAGATGCAGTGTGGCAGATCCACATGCCGGCGAAGCGGCTTAACAGGAAAGCGGAATTCGCACTAAGACCTGGTTCACTTAAAGATGCGATGAGGTATAGAAGTTGAAAATATGGCGTTGGAGAGTTTGTTCCGCGACGAACACCCTTGCTTCGCGGCAAAAAAAATTGTGAGGGAGGGACGCTATAGCGCAATATAGGTTCAGTGACGCCTCCTTTTTTCCAGTGACTCCGCCTCCAGACTCCGCCTTCAAGGCCCGCCTTTCAGTGAAAAACGAAGCTGCAGGACGAAAAAGCATGAAAATCGTCACTTGTATCGGCGTGGAATTCTCATAGGATAACCAGCTGTGCGAATGAGGGCGTGGCTGTGGAGATGGACTTCTTTGGGCACGCACAAATGGGGTCGAAATGAGGTTCTATCTAGGGCAGTTGGCATGTTTTTTTCTGCTTTTTTCTTCACTATCGAGTTACTCAGCACCTTGTCGTCTATATGCAAACCCCTAATCCACTATCTGTGATGGCGAATGATCGCGGGCTTTGCCTTTAACGGCCCAATGCTGCAGTATGCAATTGATCGAGGCAACTAGCTAGGAAGCTCCGCTAGTCTGTGGATCTCCCGCACCGTCCCTCATGGATTGGAACGTTCATTGCAAATTCTGAGGTACAGCTTCGTGACAAAATCACACGAGGCTTTACATCAAATACAATGAAGGTCTATGAGAGCTTTATTGCTAGATCGACATGCATCCAGTGCAATCAGTATAATTCGAATTACAGCACTGACAACTTCATAACGCATCTTAACTGTCATAGTCAACCTGACCAAAAATATGTAAGCCAAACAGCAAAATTTAGCGCTTAAAGTTAGTCGGGGATCTTGCCATGAAATCGACTATGCTGCCGAGGACGCTCCTCTTCTTGACACTAAAAAGGACCAGCACGAGCGACTGGACGGTTCGCACTGTTTGCAATGACAGACAGTAGCCTCAGGCTCCGCTCATACTTGGCGTAAAACTGGAAAAACAGATCCACCGTGGTAAGGACTGCTAGACTGTAGGAAAGCCATCAAAATTCCTTGGGCTTCCCCTTTGAGAAGTTCAAAGCAGAGCGCACGACTGCTGGAGGGGTCGCTTGTTGTCAAGGTGATTGGAGGAAGAGCTGCGATAGGGCGTTTTGCCATACCCCACTCAGCCCTTCCGCCAATTACGCTAGCGGTAACCGCCCGCCCCGGCAAGAAAACTCACTGCCTTTATTCCCCATGCTAGAAATCACCAACGAATAAGTTCATCAAAGGTAAAAACCATCAGTATCCATGCACTTAGGTAGAAAGACAAGTTACTAAGATAGGTAGAAGTTATGTGGCTCCAGCCACTGAGCGTTCGACCCCGCCCACGAATGTCATTGTGGAACACAGCAAAAGGACTAGACACGGATCGACTGAGAGATTCATCAGATCATGGATTGGATTTGAATGAGGCACTTACAGTAATGTTTCTCTCACTTACTTTTTCTTACAACGAATTCCAGTATGGAGTCGTTAGCACAAAGAATAAACTCAGACTTGGTTCAGTGACCTCACACCCACCCAGGGCGCCTTATTCACGGGCAGGGTGAACGTTAAATGGACGCGTAAGGTACATAAATCTGCCGAATTCACAAAAAAGACCGAAATCCCTATCGCAACGAAGAAAGAGATTAACCATTGGGGAAACTGTCAAGTACAACTCATACTCAACCCCTGAGTCACGTTAGATTTGCAAGAATAGCTATAAAACAATACATGTATAACTGTCAGTAGTGGAAACAGACTTGCAAAATAAATATGTCGGCTGGGAGGTCCACGTTGCGGAGAGACACACAATCTAATACTTCCTAGAAAGCTGATTCGACATTCTGCAGCAACCCTAATTCAAAGCGATTGAGCCAGGATCAGAATGACACCTGACACCACTTGCTGCCGCAACGCGGATCACCCGACCGATACCCGCAAAACACAATCTATCAAGAAGGGATAAAAGTAGGAAACTGTATGTACAAATTCAAAAGGCTCGACATGAAATTCCGATAACGCTAATTGAACAGACTCAAAAATCGTCTTGCTCCCTAATTAGTTCGAGGTTCAATGCATTGTTCAACGAGAGTTAACTTTTAATTATGAAATTCATAATGCTGGCGCACAGTTGCTGCTTTAGCCTTACTCTCCTACTGTAGAGTTTTCTTATAACGATTCGCGTAAGCCTTCTGAAAGTATTCTTTGTGATTTCAATCCAACAAAAACCAATGACGTACCCAACTCGACTTACTTTTTCATCTAATATCACAAAAGGTGAACAAAGATTCAGCCGGAACGCCAGCCTCTATTGATGAGCTGCCAATCGCGCCACCGTCTACAGTACTGGAATCTAAACCATAATCATGTGCAGAGGACATCTGGTGGCACTTTGGAGCCGAAACTGCTCCAGTCTCGTAGCTATTGTCCGTGCTCAGCGCTGACTCAGGATCTTCTTGCTTGACCCTGAAGTGAAAGTTTCACCGTTCTAATTGAAGTTTGTAGGAAGTCTACGATGGAACGGCACAATCGAAAATATACAGGTCTCTATTTTGACAATGGCCAACATCCCTGCAATGGGTAGCATGCTGAGAGTGGTGCGTAGTGCAACCGTACGCCTTCGGAGTCTGCTCTTATAGTCTTGTTCGCTGCGCCTATAGGGGTGTGTCAGGCAGGATGAGCTTGGCGCGGTGCCAAACCTTTGATCAGTTGGTGAAACAAGAAAGCGACAAGACTGTATCATATCGCTCGTATCAGTCGTTTAAACCAACTGTCGTCGCTTATCCGCCACAGCAACCGAGGAGAACCGGTTTGGCGCCATGCTAAACCCATCCCGCCCGGCACGCCCCCTCATCCGCGGCGAACAAGGCTGAATAGTCGTGACTGAATTTGGGGCGGGTCAACGGTGGTTTTGGCACGGCGGCAGGCCGTCTTTAATGAGACGTTACGGCTTCGGGCGTTCAGTGCGTGATGGAGAAGGGGCTGGCGCCGCGCTAAAACGCACGGTGTGCTGCCACGCCCCGACCGAGCTCAGTGATAACCACCATTCCTAGTGAAACTCTTGAAAGTTTGTGTCCACTCCATACACTCCAGTAACACTTCAGGTTCCGAGTTACTTAGACTTGATTGATTATTGATATGGTCTTGCCCTGCATCTGCTGAGAGAGGAAACGTACCTTTTCCTCGAAAAGAGCTTTATCTCTTCCTCCACCTCATGCTTGTGTGAGGCAACTCGTGCAGGAGCACATCTCACATCGTTAGCGACTTTCTGAGCTCGCCGCTGAGTGTTCTAGGAGCAAACTTCAGCTGATGATATAAATAAAACAACAACATCTAGCATACCGTATCCTCAGTCACTGCACCGCTGTCAGTCCGTACGGTGTATGTGGAAGGGGTCTCGCTTGGATGTGAGTCTTCCTTCACTTGCCCTTCGAAGCGTTTCTCGAATGGAGAACAAGCTGTGCAGATGTAGTGCACAATGGGAGCTGCCCCGTTGGCCGTCAAACTTACAAATCGTACCGAGTCCGATATTTTAGAACCGCAACATGGACAGAAACGGAAGAGTTTCAGCAGCTGACTTCCTTTTATTAAAAAGTCCTGCTCTAGCAGCTTGGGGTCTGTTTCGTCCAATTCCAGGAAGCCTTCGAAACCCGTCGTTGACCGAGATGGCATCATGTTCTGCAACACAAGATTCGTAGGAGTAGACATACACATCTAATGCATTGTGGGCGCTGGAGCAGTTCGGCCAGGTGGGGGAAGCATTTTACAGTTTTGCTACTTCCCATCAACGTGTCGAGTCATCTAGAAAGCTATTTCATGAGCTCACAAGAGTTGACAGGTTTTACCATGGTGGCTCGACGAGCTTGCTCCAGCTTCACAAGAGTTCACAGGTTTCACCAGAGTGAGACTTGTAAACCGGAACTAGTGAAGCAGCGAAAGTGCCCGCCCCCCCCCCCCCTCCCCGTCGCCCAACTGCTGCGCTGGGCGCTTTTCCGTTACAGTAGAGCAGTCTGAAGCAAAAGTTCTCACGGCAATTTAGAACCCCTGGAAGCTTTTCTGTTTTTCTGTTTCACTGTAGCCGCTCAGAAGAAGCAGTGTCCACTTAGTTATGATTAGGATGTCGTTTTCGGTGAGGGAATGGCCCATCTTTTCTGTGGGAAAGGGCAAAAATCTCCATGTCTTTTCTCACAATCGTTTCCTCACACCTTTCAGCACAAGACGCTTCTTACCAGGAAAGGTCAACAGGTCAGCCTGGCCATTTCCAATGAGCTGCACACCGTTGTACGCGTCTTGGGACAGTGAACTCAAATCTACCTTCAGAATTTGCGGAACGACTCTCTGAACGGAGTTATGGAGGGATCCCCGCGTGGTTGTCTCACG